TACATTTGATACCGGGGGAACCGTACTGTGAAAAGTAATTAGAGGATCGTCCGACGAAATCATTAGCAATTAGTAGCCCTCTAATATTTCGCTACATTCATTACAGAATTGTCCAAATACTTGCGGAAATTTTGTTTTATCTGCTGTGTTCTTTGCAATCAATCTTCTGGAGGGTGATTAAACAGACAGAAATAAAATTCAATATTTTCCACAACTCTGAGAATCGAAACTCGTTTAAGGGGTCTTGCCACTAGGGACCTGTGCGATATAGTGTAAAAAAGACTAGTAAATGTTTCAAACAACTTTTTATTATACTCTCAATAAGTGTATTAATAAATAGACAACACTTCATGTAGGTTGAACATTTCATTCAGTGAAAACAAAATTCCCTAAAAATGACAATTTTTCAGGGCTTCACAGTGGCAAGATCCCATAACCTCATTATTGGTACGAAAGAACTTTCGAACTTGTCCGCAAGAAACATGAACTTACCACCGAAAATATTGTTTAATATTTCGTAATTACTCGAATAACACTACACAGGTCTGTTAAAAGCTCCGTACCGATCTTTAAACCCACGTTTACATCGCCAAGTTTTCCCGGTCGATGGTCACTGGAAGGAAGGTCGCGCCTTGAATACGGGGAAAGGTCGATCGATCGATCGAAATTCCGTTTTCCCACGCTCCAATTTTCCTTTATAATACGTCCCCCACGGTGTAATTAGCCGGTGAACGCGCAACGAGCGGAGAAAAAGGGGACGGTCACAGAGAGAGAGAGAGAGGAGACGGTCGAAAGATTATCCCCCGGCCGGCCGCCTCGATCCCGGCCACCAAGTACAAGGCGAAGTGTATTGGGAGCACTCCTGGTATATCGGGGCAATTTACTTTCTCTTTCGTTTTTGCCGTGTCGCGTCTCTTTGATCGAACCGAGTGCCAAGCTCTTCTCCCCACCCCACCCCCCTCCCTCGCGCGTTCAGCAACGAACTCGAGGAGACGCCATATTGGTGCTCTCGTAATCTAACCTCAAACTTCTATTAAATCGATTTGAATAATGAAGAATAATATATATTGTTTAAACAGAAAAAAAAAAAACAGAAGGCTGACGCAGCCACTAGATAATTCCACCATCGAACGCAATGCAGGTTCTTGCGAGAACCGCGAAAGCTCCCAGACGTGAAACCCACGACCGGTTCTATGGCTACCACCCGCTTACCTGTTGCGTGGTATTTGAGGGGGCGGTAATTATCGAACGATCAACGTCGCCCTCGGTTCCCCTCGCGACTTTCATGCGCGCGTGCGCTCTGTAAGAAGTATCATATACGCGCTCGGGCCCCGTTAGCCCGTGGAAAACGGGACAGCGCGGGCAGAGGTGTTACTTTCGAAATGCCGTCTAGGTCGTGCGTCATTCCTCCCGGGTGGTGGTGGTTCGCGGGTAGGTAACTCCGCGGGACGTTTCACTTTCGACTCCCGATGTACCGGTCCGAGCGGAACGGCGGCTGCGCGACCGGGCCGGCCTTGACTACAAAGTCGTTTCGCCGCGGCCTGTTTGTCCCCCACCGGCCCAGGTGGGCCTTAGGCGTGCATGTATGTGTGTGGATTCGTGTGGTAAGTAGTACATGCAACCGAGTGTCCTTCGCGTACACGCTCGCTACTGGGGCCGCCTCCTGTTCCGCGTCTATAGACCATCGAACGGAACGGTTAACCTAGGCGACTTGTGTGTTCGCCAGAAGTGACTGTGGAAAATACCATGCAGTAAATGTTCGATGAGTGTTCGAAGACTCGTACGGCACTGACTAGGAGAGGTAAACGGATGTAACGGTGACTTTTTAATGGGGTTTAACACATAGCTTGGAATTTTAAAGAATTTCGACTTTTTCTTGTCAGTGCCGAAGAGCCGTCGAACACTCATCGAAAATTTGCTGTATTTCGTCTAGGTTATGGGGTGATCGATGGTTGTAGTGTCAATGACAGAGTTTGTCGAAACGGAAGTGAAGGAATCTTGAAGAATGTCTGTTGCACGGGAAGATCGGTGTAACGACAAAAAGTGAATGTTCCAACAACGGTTCGGTAGCTAATCCGTTTTATGATCACACTCTATCACACCGTTCGCCACGAAAGTCGCAGGGGGGAATCCCGGAGAAAGAGGCTCTCGCGATGGTGAAACCGGCGGCCTGGGTTTTTAGAAAGTCTGGCCAATACGGAGTTGGTATCGTCGTTGCCTCTCGTGGAAACTGAGAGCTTCAGTTCCGCCATTTTTTCGGCGATGTGCCCCGCGTGGTTTTTCTTTTCGCCTCCTTCGGCCCGTAATTATTTTAGATTGCTTTCCCGAATGGGGGAAACGAGGCTCTTTGAAGTGGAGAGTTTACATCATTGGTAGCACGGATAGAGTGGAGTCGTTTCATGCTCGTCACGTTGCATTCGATGTCCGGGAATTTAATTTCGGAGCGATATACAGTAAACTTTCGATAAGTGTTCCAAGCCTTCTCTTGAGAAAAAATCCTGGGATTTTTTTCTACAGAAACTATAAAATGGATTTCTTTCGGAACTGTTGGAATATTTTACTCAACATTTTAACAAAATAAATTTGTTTATGTAATTTTTATATCCACCACAAATGAATTATAAAGGCTTTTTTCCTTTTTGTGAAAATGTTATATAAAATATTCCAAGAGTTTCGAAAAATATCCATTTTACAGTTTCTTTGGAAACAAATCCCCAAAATATCTGCACTTTTGGGCTTGTTACAGTGTTCTGCCCTCTTAAGTCATCGTTTTTCTAGTTTCACAATTTAAACAACAAACGCGAATCCTCGAAATTGGTTACATCTTATCGGTTCTTACGAAAACTGTCGTCACGGGCGAATTTTTGCATTATTGATGAACAAAACGTCTGAAAATCTTCGATTTTGTTTTTCATTTTATTCGTTAAGGATTGCTTCTTCCAGCGGAATGATCGTTTTTTGCGATGTTAATTCACCGTTCCAACGTGTTTGAAAAACGATCGATGGTAGGCGGTATGTATATGCATCGGATCCGATGAAGTCAGCTCGCGATGTTGCCGAAACGCTCGAATTATCATAATCTTTCGAATGGGTCATTGCTTACAAGTTGCAGCCTCTAATAGTTTTAACAACGGGTGTCCGACGTGATGTACACACGGTGTCGAGTGTGTAAAATTCTGCGGCCAAACGGACACACAACTTAACTTGAAGACACAACCGTGAAACACAACCGAAATTCTTCTTCATCGAATTCTGTTACGAAACAAAAAATCTCCATTACAGAATGTATTTAATTTCTTTTCATTCCGTAAAATTATGTTTGTTCAATGTTAACCCTCTGTAGGCAAACGTATTAGTTCCACACTCAGTAATGTAAATCGGAATTTTTTACTGTTTTTTAATTTCAAAAATATATTGATTAAACTGATACCTACTACTGATATTTCTAAGATAATTAATCAAAGGAACTAATAATATAGTAAGATTGAGGGAATTTATGCAAATTCATAATTGTAGATACTAATGTCCAAAAAAATAAAAATGGTACACAATTTGAAATTCTTTGCTAGAGCCTTTACTACATTAATAGTAACACACAATACTATTGAACTTTATCAAAACTTTTATTTTATTGCATTTCCCTAGTAAATGATGTTATAAATGCATAAACATCCGCGGTTTAATAATAAGAATTTATTTATTGAGGATTTTAATAAAGTGAAAAGTAAATCTCTTTTTATCAATTTTACCAATTTAATTTCAATGATTATTTTAAACTACTTCAAAACACTGAAATGGAAAGAAAGGTTTCAAATAAGTCGAAATAATTAGAAATTTCTTTCCTTTTTGTACAAAAATTTCATCTTTTTACGCTATAATATAGTATTTTTATAAGTTTCATGAGGCTCGTGTTAAAAAGTGATTTTCATAATGTTTCGTATTCAGGAATTTTTTGAGAATTTCAAGAAGCTTTCAAGAATGTTCTGTTTAAATTTTCAACGAAATTTATAATCATTAAAAATTTGCGTGAGTCACCTTAATCGCGACATCGAACGAGAGATCAGATCGGATTCGCGACCGTGTAATTTCACTCAGCTGCGCGCGCACTCGCGGACAAAGACAACCGCGAGTCCATGCGATTAAAAGGCGACAAGAGCGCAACGACAAAAAAAAAAAAAAAACAACAGAAACGAGCGGGAAACCAGGGTACCAATTTACGGGAACACAAGCATCCAGGTACGATTCGCGGTGGGCGCGTTATCGGCCGGTATCTTTACAGCTTTTCGTGGAAAGCAGGTAATTTACGGTGCGTCGTGTCCGTCAGGACATTACGGTGCAACGACCGGCCCTCCCGTCATATTACCCACGGCGTATCGGTCGGGGGAAAACAAAACAGAACGAAAAAAAGAAAGAAAAAAAAAACACATTATTTCACGTAATTGCAGAAGCGCGAAATTCTAGGAACGACCATTGTGTTCCGCGGAGTCTCTTTTCCCTTCTTCTTGCTCGTTCTCAAATCGTTCAACGGTCTGTCTCTTTCTTATTATTGGGACACGCGTGGACCTTCTCGAAAAGAAAGAAAAAAAGAAAAAGAAAAACGCTACCTCTAGCGAAACTGCCTGTTCATTCTGGGTGATTTAATCCCCGTTATTGCCTGCATCGTTCATGTTCGCCGTGGTTTGCTCGCGTGATTTCGAACGAGAAAGTAATAGAGCCGATTACTTGTTCCTTACTTTGTGCGAAGAATTGGTGTTCGAGAGATGGATGTGAGATTATTACACGGGGGTTAGATCTTCTGATTGGTATTGGTGCTAGGGATTTTTGTATTAATCTGCTATAATTCCCTAAACTGATGTCCTGGGTGTTGGGTCAAAAGTGACAATAAAAAGTGAAACCGTTACAGTAAATTCTTTGTAAGTGCTCGGAAGGATTTCTACGTTAAATCTTTAAGTTTAACTACCCTCAACGCTGATCACCACGTGGGCTGGTAATGATTTCAGATCGAGGAAACGACGGCCAAGCTCGAGCAACGACTCCGAACGGCTGTACAGCGGCTGGAACGAGAGAATACCACACGGATGCGGTCGCGAGGGATGCCGTACCAACGAGCGGGGCGACTGCATGGACGAGTGCACCGCTGCCTTGGTACTGATGTCACTCTCGTGCTCGCCACACAGTCCTCACAATCCCCTGCCACTTCACTGCCAGCACAATTACGGTCAGTATCAACGTGTAAAAATACTCCAATCGAATACATACAGTGAATTATCGCTGAGTGTTCTAAGGTTCCTCGGCACTGACAAGGGAAGGCACGGAAGTGTCCCCCTCCGATTTTGATGAAACTTTGTATGGCTGTTAAACAGTCAAAAATAAGAGATACGTATTTTTTTTATCGGCTGAGACGCGACTTTAAGGGGTGAAACCACCCCTCGTGTATCGTTCTAAACTAATATTGAAAAAAAATATCGGTAATTTTTACAAGAAAGAATGCTGCTTGAAAAAGAATAACTAGATTTTTTAAAAAGATTTATAACTTTATATAACGTAGAGATTTCAGTTTGAAAAATTGAAAAAATGTAATTAATTAAATTAAAAAGAAAATACTGATTTCACAAGTGAACAGAAGATTAAACAAAGAGTGAAAAAAAAAATCAAAATTACATCATTTGCTCGTTTCAATAACTTAGTTTACTCATTTTTACATATAATGTTTATTCACTGGTGCATCCACCCTAGTTTCTTGTTTAAAATGCTTGAAAGCTTCAGAAACTTTATGGTATTACGTCTTGGGTCACGTGACCGGCCATTTTGTGTACATCCTATAGAGGAAAGCAGTTGTACGTTATTCGGTGTATGGAAATAGTTATAATTCGAGAAGAAAGCCAAGAAGGCTAAGTGAAATTTTTTTATTGTTTTCGTGTCCTCGGTCCGTTATCGAAGTGTGTTAAACACCGATGTGCAAGTGAAATATACGTATATAAATATTCGTACGTTTCATTGGCAGAGCCACGCTAGTTTACACAAATTTCCGATTTACAAGAACCAGCATTGCAGGAATATTTACGTTATTCTTTAAACGTATTTATCGAATGAATAACGAAACAAGTGAAGTAGCGATCGTCCAGTTATTTTAATAATGCGAGAAATATAACTCTTTTATTTCCATACAGAATACGGTACGAATATATTTCCCACTCGTTAACTCTTTAGCCTCAAAAGAACGTACGCGTGTGTAAGTTCTCACGTGTCCATTGATATACTTAATTTATTTTAATGTCATTTACGTATGCGAAAGACGTATTATATATTATTCCGTGTAACGCGTCTCACCGTTTCACAAAAGTGATGGTCTATTAACCTTTTAGTTTATTCATATGCGAACGCTTTACACGCGTGTATCACGTGTACGTGTCTTACGTTAACGAAGCATCTCACGAGGGGAAGTTATCGAAACGTTGAATTACCTTTGAAAGAATAATGGGGGTTGGGAATTATTGGACTCAACCACCTAAGCGTAATGCCAAAGAAGCAGTTTTGAAAATGAATATAAATGAATTTTGTTTTATAATTCGTGATTGCAGCCTTGTTTTGGATACACACGAATAAAATAACGGAAATAGAAACCTCAAATACCAACACAGAATTTTTGTTCACCTCGACCTGTGTCCGTATAAGCTCCGAAAATGGACTTGGACCCTATGTTGGTGTTTTTTTTTTTTTGCATCGTTTGAAATTATGCTACTTACATGTATTCAAGAACGAAATACTGAAAATTTTTTAAAGAATTTTATTTTTCTTACAATTATTTAAAAAAATTGCAAAATAAATGGTTAAAAATGGACCAATCGCAAGCTTTCCATAACCTCGTGAAATACGTTATCTGTGGGGGGGGGGGGGATGATCGACGTTGAAAAAACAATTAATCGATAATTTCTTATGATCCCATCGACAAAGGTTCCTGGGGAGGTCGAGGAGGAGGTGGTGGCGGCATAGTCGTCGGCTCACCGGGCGTTGGCGGCACTTCGAACAGCAGTAGCAGCAGCAGCGGGGCATCATGGCGGAGCGGTACCCCAAGCCCACCACTCAGCGACGAGGGGGCGCCGACCACGGGATCGTTGTGGCCAAACCCAGGCCACCACCACCATCATCATCATCATCATCATCCGTCGCACAATCAACAGCACTACCCGTACAACGCGTCCGGTTCGTCGTCGAGCAGCACACCGGGCTCTACCACCACCCTGGACGAGGGCATAGTGCCCGATTACCTCGAGGAGCAGCACCCGCGCAAGAAGAAGGTGAGTCAGGCTTACACGTGTCGCCTCGTTGGCTCGCTCGCGCGCGCAAACATTCGCGTCCTTCCTCCCCACTCACTCGATGTGTGTGTGTGTGTGTGTGTGTGCATCGATCGATCTGCCGCGGCGTCGTTTTATCTGATAAATTCAAGTGCAACGGGACTCTGCACCGTTCGCCGCGTGTTGCAACGTTAATCCACCTGGCCGGTGAACTTGGCCTTGGGGGGTAACCAAGAGAATTATCTGTCGTTCCGTGTAGGTATCTGGTTCTTGTCTTCTTTTCTTTTTTTTTTTCTTTTGCTTCTGTTTCTTTCTTTTCTTTGTCTTCTGTTTTACTGCACGGTTGATCTGTCACGGTTATATTTAATGCGTTAGGCGGCGTGCTGATTTTCATGAAACTTTCCCTTCGGTCCATGCGACGCAGTGCTACCAACTGAGCGATGCCGATTACGGTGTGTTTTAGATAGTTTTGGGAGAAATTTTTGGGGGTGATTCTTAGTGGAGATGGGCTACTGTTTTTTTTTTTCATGAAACTATTCGTATTTAAATACTTTTAAAGTATTGAATATTATATTTACCAGGCACTTGGTATATCAGTTCCCTTACACACATTTCAAACAGTTCCCTCTTAAAAGTTACCATTTTCCCATTCTACACTGCGTCGTAAAATCTCGACAGGTTTCGGAAAAAGGTAGCGTTAAACGTAGTATGCCGGTATCCTCGTAAATAGAAAAAGATCGCGTTTCACAGAAAGTACCATTTACCATTTATCAGGTCTGTAATACACCGGAGATAATTCGAAAATGGTAAACGGGACGCTTTCACCATAAATCACGTGAATTCGGTATACCAGTCCATTTACACATATTACACACTGTTCCATCTTAAAAGTTACCATTTTACCATTTTACTCCGCATCGTAGAATCTCGACACGTTTCGAACATAGGTAGCGTTCAACGAAGTCCGCCGATAATATACTCGTGAGTGGAAAAAGAGATTGACATTTCACAAAAAGTACCGTTTACCATTTACCAGGAACCGTTAAACACAGTGGGGGCGCTTCGAAGTCCCCCGCGCGCGCGCGCGCGCGCGTGTTTGTAGGGAGTTGCTGAGTGGCCCTAGAGATCGGATCGAGGCCACGAATCACATGTACAGGCGGCGTGGCGAGGCCAGTTGTCTTACGCAACCGAGCACTTTTATCAGTCGCGGTCGTTTGACGTTAATTAAATGGAAGCCTCGGATGCGGAAGAAGTAGCCACGTTGTTCGAGGCGATAACTTCGCCACGCCTTGCGGAGCGATTTAATTGTGCGTCCATGCCGTCTACGGCTACAAGCTCGCGCGACGATAACCTTTGACTGTTCTCTCTCTCTCTCTCTCGAGATGATCTACGAAATTCACGATAATAAAACGCTCTCAATGTACACGAGTTAAAATGCGTTATCAACCTGCGACAAGACGTTTCCGTAAAAATCATTCTTATCAATATTTATTCCATCAGGACGTATTTACGATTATTTCGACGGATCGAACGATGTGGGTTCGTCATGATTTCGATGGATCGAACCACTAGGGTTCGTCATGATTTCGATGGATCGAACGACTAGGGTTCGTTATGATTTCGATGGATCGAACGATGAGGGTTCGCCATAATTTCAGTTGATCGAACGACTAGGGTTCGCCATAATTTCGATGGATCGAACGATGAGGGTTCGCCATTATTTTGGTGGAACGAACGATGAGGGGTCGTCATAATTTTAATGAATCGAACGACTAGGGTTCGTCGTGATTTCGATGGATCGAAAGATGAGGGTTCGCCATTATTTTGGTGGAACGAACGATGAGGGGTCGTCATAATTTTAATGAATCGAACGACTAGGGTTCGTCGTGATTTCGATGGATCGAACGACTAGGGTTCGTCGTGATTTCGATGGATCGAACGACTAGGGCTCGTCGTGATTTCGATGGATCGAAAGATGAGGGTTCGCCATTATTTTGGTGGAACGAACGATGAGGGGTCGTCATAATTTTGATGAATCGAACGACTAGGGTTCGTCGTGATTTCGATGGATCGAACGACTAGGGTTCGTCATGATTTCGATGGATCGAACGATTAGGGTTCGTCGTGATTTCGATGGATCGAAAGATGAGGGTTCGTGATGATTTCGTTGAATCGAACGATGAAGGTTTACGATGATTTCTTCAGAGACCTTCAGAGAAGCAAGGTAGGACAAGAATGGTACCGGTACCAGCACGCTGCAGTGGAAATTCAGTTTGGAAGGTTATACAAAACGTGGCAAACATTTTTCCGTTATTCCGTGGAGCTTGATCGTTGCCTACCTTGAAAGAAAGAAAGTAGGATGTTGCGTGTAGCGGATTATTCTGACGTCGAGGAGGTATGAAATCTCGTGTTCTTTTTTTTTTCGATTGATTTGAAGTTAGTTGATGGAGGTTACTGGATACTAATAAGTGAAAGTTGGGTAGGACGTGAATTCTAACCACTTATGGAGTTCGGTTTTAATGATGTGTCGTGAACGGGATTAATGGTCTGAAGTGGAGTCTTCTAATTGATTGTTTGAACTTCGGGTTCTTCTTCAGGGTCTAGTCACTAGACTGACTGGGCACTAAACTCTAGTGGGTGAATTCCATTCTCTTGTCATTAGACTACTGATATTTATGCATTTATAAGATTCTTAAACTTAGACAATACAATAAAACAAATATCTTAATGAAGTTCAATATTATCTATGCGTTATTATAAATATAGCGAAGCCTCTCTGATATGGAATTTAAGATTGTCTAATTTTAATTTTGAAATATTCCTGCTTAAGGTTGTAAATTTGCATAAACTTCCGCAGTCTACTTGTCATGTTTACGTCTATGGTTTTCATATATTTCGTGTATTTCATTAAATCTCATGTATCTCGAGTATTTCGTGGTGTTAAATATTTATATCGTGTGTAAATGATTAAGCAACTGTAAATATCGAATAAGAATCATCACGATTAAGACCTATAAAACTTCTTCCGTTAAAAAGAAAAAGAAAGAAAAATAGTTGAATAATAATTGGTACATTATTAGACGTGTCAATTTTTTAGTTTATGTAAATTCAATTTAAATCAAACGGAAAAAGTGGTACGGACGCTTTGAAATTTCAGCAAGTGTCGAAGAAGGAACCGGAGGGGGGTTTCCAAATCGCGACTCCTTATCTCGCCGTGGATTACGCAGCATCTCTTTGCGATGCGTCTCACCGCTATCTCGTGTGTTTACTAAACAGTACAGACTATTTTTGTTATTGTCGTTCCCGCGAAAACACCCGAGTCATTGATATTTCACGAGGAAGGAAATAATTCCCTATTTAATTACTAATAGAACCTAGTAATCTCCATTTCGAAAGTCACATAAACGCACGGTCTGTTTCCATTTTTAAAAATTCACTTCCATTATTAGTTTCTTTTTTTTTTATATTAAGAACATCGTGCTTTGTCGTATGAAAAATGTACTAACAATAAACTAGGATTTTATGGGATTCACAACTCGGATTTCACAGTATTTATAGAATGTACAGAATTTACAGCGTTCATGGAATTTATACAATTTATAGAATTCACAGCATCTGGGACATTTTTACAATTAACAGCATTTGTGGAATTCGCAGAATTCATATAATCTATCAATTTTACTGAATCCACAGAATTCGCATAACCCACGGAATTCACAGAATTCGTATGATCCACGGATTTCACAGAGATCATAGTATTCACGGAGGTTATAGAATTCACAGAATTCATATAATCTGTAGAATTCACATGATTTATAGAATGAGTAGAACTCATATAATCCACAAAATTTGTATAATCTACGGAATTCACAGAATTCGTATAATATACTGGATTCATATGATCCACGGAATTCACAAAGTTTATAGAATTCACACGATTTATATAATCCGTAGAGTTCTTATAATTTGTAGAATTAATAGAATTCATACAATTTGTCGAAATAATAGAATTCATACAATTTGTCGAAATAATAGAATTCATACAATTTGTCGAATTAATAGAATTGTAGAATTAGCAGAATTAAAACGGTACAATGCTATCTTTCACAGGTATCTCGCGCCGTTCGCAAAATGTCACATGACGTCACGAAACCGTGACAGTCGGTCCCCGCGAGTCGGTCATTATTCCGAACCACACGAAGAGATCGGGTGAGTGACAGGAGGCGTACAGTGAAGGTAGCCGCGGTGTGTATGTGTGTGTATGGTTACACCACGCGGCGCAGCGGCTGCATTTCTTGCCGGTCAGGGCCGAACATTTGTGCCAAAACCTTTCGCGATCGATCGTTGCCTCCCCTCTACATCTAGCGTATACCTTTGGTACACCGATCACGAAGAGATCAATAGAGGTTACGAAATGACGCCCGAAGAGAAGAGAATTCCACACGGGCGAATGTCTTGAATGCCACGGGATACACACCGATAACGACTGGGTTTGCCCTTGTAATCCATGGAATCTGATCGCCAGGTTCGCGTTTAGATTTTCATTTAGATTCGAATTCCCCACCCGCGAGATTCACCGATATTACGATTTACCGTTATCATCCTCTCGTACATTGGGACAAGTAGTTTATCTAGGTTGGACAAAACCTTCGTATTTCGATGAGCTCATATATACATGTTCCTTTTTTTTTTATTGAAAAATTTACAGGGTTAGTAGAATTCATAGATTTCACATAGTTTATATAATCTGTGGAAAATCACATAATCCAGGGAATTCACATAATCCGTGGAATTCATATATAATCTGTGGAATTCATATATAATCTGTGGAATTCACATAATCCGTGGAATTCACATAATCCGTGGAATTCACATAATCCGTGGAATTCACATAATCCGTGGAATTCACATAATCCGTGGAATTCACATAATCCGTGGAATTCACATAATCCGTGGAATTCACATAATCCGTGGAATTCACATAATCCGTGGAATTCATATAATCCGTGGAATTTATATAATCCGTGGAATTTATATAATTTGTAGAATTCGTATAATTTCGAAATGGAAATGATCAGATCAACGGAATTAACGCGTTCCCATTCGTGTTTTACCCTAAAACGGGGACAACGACGGTGCACATCGGTCGTGTCGGCGATGCATCAGGGTATCCTCCGGTCGTTGCCAAGTCCACGCCGATGACATAAGCCCCACGGTCCGAGCCAAGGATGTAAACACGCGCGCAAGCGGGAGGAGGACGATTTTTCAGTATTTCGTAAGACGGCTAACAAGTCGAACCTTGAGGTATAATCGCCGTGCTTCTATACATAGGCGCGCGAGTCGATGAGCGGTTGCCGCGCGGAAAATCTGTCCGACCGGCTCCGAAAATAGCTGGAAGCCGAAGCTGAGCCTCGCAAACGGAACGGGAAGGCTTCATCACAGCAATCTCGGCACCTCGACACACTCCCTTTATGGTTTTTTATTTCTTATTTCAGATTCGAGCGAAAGTGAACCGTGACCCGATCGACAATGGGCCCGCTAGCTGTTCCACTTACGAGAGCGAACAGGTGAGTGATAGAGAAAGCATGATCTTTCGAAAAATGTCTGGAAAACGAAGATAAACGCAGTTTTCCAGTGAATTTTTCTATCTTGTAACCTGTTTATAAATAATATTTATTGAGTTGCTGACGGGCCAAGTAATTTTTAATGAGGGGGGAAATTTAATAATATAATCAATTACTACGGAATTTTATTCAGATGATTTTGAAAATTAATGTTAAATTTCACAAAGATAAATTCATAGCTTGTCAGAAACTTTGTTGTAGAAAAATCAGTATCGATTAATTTATTAATGAGATGCTTGCTGTTGTACATTGGGTGCCAAATTATTTATATCACGTTCATATTTCGTCATTTTTAATATCGAAGTTATTTATTATCAATTGTTTAGTAATAGTTTCCTTCCACAGTGATAGAGCGCGCTTAGAAATTATACAAACTCTGGCAACAGTGCCGACACTCTGTTTCCAAGATGGCGGGCGACGTTGTCGTTTGAATGTCAACGATTATATCGAACACCGACGCCCCTTTCTTTCGTTTTCGATTCTATTCTCGGGACGGGAAACTAGGCACAGGGAGCCAAACCAGGGCAAACATGGCCGGGCAACCAAGCCAAGCGTACGATGTACGTTTTCCGGACCACAAAAGTTGCGTTACGCTCGCAGAAGTTGGTCAGAATTTTATTCGAATAACACACAGTGAAAAGCAGCAGTATATAAGGGTTGTCGTTCTGAGAGATGAGATTAAATAATTGTTCCACAAATGTCGATTCATTCATAAAGAAGTATTATTTTATTATAAAAATTGAAATTTCCACGTTTAAACAATTAAAAATAACGAAATACTTTTTTTATCTTTTATTCGTGGGGATCGCAGGTATGTTTTCACCGTCTACGTCCGCCATCTTGGAGACGATCTCCCAGTATCTATAACTTCTCTAGAGAAAATAGTTATTTCTACTATCTGATAGAGGTCATCAGTATGTGACCAGAAATCGTTGGTATAATTTATGTCGAGGCTTTTAGGTCAAACTATTTTTAATAGGTTATAAAGTTTGTGTACAGGGTGTTAAAAAAGAAGGTACCTAAAACTTTTGGTACTCATAATGGTTAACTGTTATCAATTAGACCATTTTTAATTCCACTCGGTGAGTACTATGAGCTCCTAAGTCTTAGACCCTTTTCTTTTGGAACACTCTGTATACATATACTCTAGTCCCGAATAACACGTGACCTGAAAACTATTTATCTTTCCTTCTATCCACAACATCTATACATTCTTCCTCAAGCACGCTATTTTGAAACAATTCGTAACCCTTTTGGAGTCGAATGATTTCTCCAAGTCCAAGCATCTCCCCAAATCTTACTGTATATATCCCATAAACCAGTACATCTCTCGCACCTTCATTCGAACGCCATTTTCCAATAGCTGTACATGATCGACTGTTCCCGATGCAAATTTCAAGAAATTAACCGTGTGATCGTACCAAGATCGCCGGGGGCTGAAATGCCAAGTGACATATGTAGCTCGAGGGCTGACCGGGGAGGTTCGTGACCCAGTTAACTGAAGGTTCCTCCCACTTTCACCGACCGCGAAGTCGAGACTTCGGGGTCTCATTCATCTCGACTCGGTTAGAATACCGTTCGAATTGTTCGCGCAATCGTGTGCGCGGCACGAAGTCTACATAATTTTCGACGTTCCACGGACTAGGCCACACCACTTTCGCTGGTCCCCCCGTATCACGGGCGTATCCGTGCGCACCTGACCTGATTGGCCATGATAGTCTGAAGATATCTTCCAGATTGAGCTCCCTAGATTCAGCTCCTCTATATTCGCCCCCCCCCCATAAATTCAGCTGCTCTAGATTCAGCTCTTCTAGATTCTGGTTCCCTACATTCAGTTCTCCTAGATTCAACACCCCTTGATTTAGTTCTCCTAAATGCAGCTCTGCTAGATTCTACTCCTTTAGGTTCAGCTTTCCTAAATTCAGTTTTCCTAGATGCAACTTCCCTATATTCAGCTCCCCAAAATTCCCCTGTTGATAGATATATAGACCCGTCATCTCTACATACGTGAATACGTTGTCGCGCATTTAAAAAAATAGTGAATTGCATCGTAAGCCCTATATACATATATGTTTGTCCTTCTTGTATACCGTTATCATGATCGTATTTCGTCGTAATCGGTTGCCAAATGATAACACGTCCGATGTCGTCGATAATCGCGGCTGTCTGACATTGGCGTGTGTTATCGCGTTGCGACGCGCTCGAAAACAGTTACCCGATTTCGACGAAATTCGTCTGCCAGCGCGAGCGCGTAAACGATCCACACGACCGGAAGCGGAAGCGTTTCAAGGCCTCTCTCCCAGATCCTCGGGACGGCTTATGGCCCCGTCTTGCGGGTAATTATATCTCTGTTCCAGCGGTCGAGTAGATTTTAGTAGGGTTGAATCGATACTGTCAAAGTCTCGATAGTTTTATCCAGGTGTAACGCTTTGACTTTTCAACGAGGTTTAGCACAGTGATAGAGCTTGAAATTCTGAAGTCAATGATACTTGTTTCAGCCGCATATGGCTATCAGTTTATGAAATACTTAATATTCAGTGCCGAGAAGCCTTCGAACACTCATCGAGGATTTACTGTAGCCAGTTACTGTTCCATCGATCATAAACTCTGGTCCCATACGTTTTGCCGTTAGTGTACTTTGTTATACATAGCAATGACGTGTGCTACCCAAGGGAATCGATTTTCGGATGAATCGAATCGGAACCGAACATCTCCTACTTGTAAGAGGATCGCATCAGCACATCCACTCCAACTGGTCATCCAAACCGATCCAGTCCATCAAGGGGCATCCTTCCTTCTCTGGGCTCCGTACGCCCGATAATAGCGCATCGGGCCAGGAACTATCATTAACATTCCACGCAGCGCAGTATAATCTTATGTGCGTTCTTATATTCATATTTGCACAGGGCCGCGCTATGCAGGAGGCGGCGGAGGGTTGCGTCTGCGCAGAGAGAATTGTCGCTGTTCACAGTGCGACGAGCAACACACACGCCTCCGCATGGACCTATATCTTTCCCGTCTCCTCTTTGTGCAGAGGCGCGCGCGAGGAACCGGCGCCCCGGCCGGCGTATTGCACCGCGTTCCCGCAGTGCACACCACCGCCTCCGCGGCGCGTGTGACGTCATCGGTGGCACGTGCCCCGCCTCTTGCCCCCCGGGCGCCCTCGAGCGTCCCCATCGCTGCTGGCAGCATTGGGCGACCGGCGGGGAGCCAGGGGCGGAGGACGAAGGCGTGGACGAAGCGCGCGCGTGGTGCGGCGGAGGGGCGGGGGAAGGTCGGCGGGGGGAGGGATCACTGCGGTAGTTAAGGTCACCGTGGCCCTGACTGCACGCGCGCGAAACACAATCCGTGTGCAGGTCGGTGCAGCTGTGTCTCTGCGCGCGCGTGCACGCTGGGCGAATAGAAACAGAGTACGCGCAACCCGCGAGGGATTTATTTCTAGTTCCGCGATCCTCTTTCTTTTTCACTCTTTCAGCGTCCCTCTCGGTATCCTTGACCGTCGTGTGGGGACATACGTGTGGCCGCCATCTTAAACGTGCGCACCCCTACGGCGTGAATCTTTTAAAATGAAGGATGTAAACCCGATAAGGTCTGATTTTTTAACTTTCGATTTTGATGAAACTTTGTAAAATTGTCCCACGTACTCCCAAATGAGCGTATCTAGGTTCATTTAAATCGACGTACTCGAATATCTCCGAAACTAGTGACGATATTAAAAATTGTTTCAGATAGAATTGGTATAAGATACGCGGAAGATACGTTTCGATCGGGATTATTTGACAGCAATGCATACTTGAAAAACACAACGTAATCCTTCTGATTTTCCATGTTAACACATGAGTATCAAAGCTTTGTGTTCGTAATCGGTCTGGTGTTTTGCGCTCGAGATGAACAAATATTCATCGTCGATCCTAGGAACCTACCACACCGCGATTAGATCAGCCGCTCCCTGTTCTTCTCGTGGACCACGTCCGTGGTTGATCAAGGCCAGCCAAGAACAAATGCAAAGCGCGAATAAATCATCTGTCTACCGACGGACATTATTAGTCGCGTCAGTGAGTAGCTAGCTATTCTCATATCAATGAAGATTGCATTCTTTAGGTAATCGAAAAACCAATTATTTTATTTCTTGTAAACACATTGGTAACTGGACGCCATTTTTATTTAGGGCAGTGTTTCCCAACATGGGGCGTGTACCCTCGCGAGCAAACTCGACTTCCGCTAGGGGGCGTAAGAGAGCAGGACTGGTCGCGGTTATACCGAGTGATCTCATTACCAGCCCACTGCCCGAGGGTCAGGGGGGGGGGGTTTAGTGTGGTGAAATCCCACATTGGCCGTCTCCGCCCCCAGCGGAGGCGGTGCACCTTTTCAAGGTTTTCCCTCCATAAGAAAAAAAAGGGGGGGGGGGCGTAAGGGAAAACGATACTGATTGCGAGTTTTCGTCATAAAGGAGTATGGTTATCGATCATTTTGATTTTTCAATGATTCACGACGATTCCGCGAAGCGCTACGTTTTACTTTTCCGAAGTTTCATGATTCCACGTTTAGCCGGCCGTCTACGCAACGATCTTTATCATTTTTACGACCACGCGATACGTACTGTCTGGCAAAACTTCCCAAGTAACTCGCCTCGAAACTTCCGTCGTTTTGTATTTAGACAGCAATTCACGCGAGCCGCTGGGAATCCTCATTGACAACTGTCGCAAACACCGGGAGCTCCGAACTGAAATAACAGACGACTCGGATTTTTGGAAACTTTCGGCCGCATGAATCATGTCGGTTTGCGCACGCCTACGCCAAACAGATATTCGAATGACAAATTTACCAAACACCCGTCAGTTTTGAGTTCAAATTCAAGTTCAATAATTCAATCAAGTTCAAATTTAAATTCAATATTTCAACATTCAAGTTGAAATTTAAGTTCAATAAGTCAATCAAGTTCA